GCGCCCGGACGACATACTTTGTTTTTTTCTGGTAGATTTTTCAAAAATGCTTTTTGGGCTAATATGGGAGTTGGACTAATATGAATGTAAAAGTGAGATAATAACGTATCCTAAGATAATAAGTGAAAATGGCATCTGTGTGTTATCAAGCCAAAAGTATAAATGCACTTGTAGGTCCCAGTTATTATACATCTAATAGTATTTACTTCCACCCCCCGAGAAGTATATACAGTTAGAGCGCAGGATAAGCATTCCAACTAGGACAGAGCCTTACTTTGTTGGTAAAGTATATACTATATTGAGATCTACAGTACAGTATCATCTGAGCTGAATCTCACCATAGATAGGTAGCAGAGGTGCTGGCACGTTTGGCAGCGTCTCTCGGATGACTCCAGCGCCAGCCACTTGCACGGTTTCTTCCTGGTGTCAGCGGGTGATTGGTTGTTGTCGTGAGTGCAGTAGCGTGCGGAGGAGAGCAGCCCTGCTTCATACAGATCCTGCCTTTGCTTCATCTCTATGTTCCTGTAGGACAGGGGTATTCAATTCCAGTTAGAGGACCAAGAGGATTTCCTTCCCAGGTCCAGATAAAACATTTTTTGGAACAGTTGTTAATTCAATTCTGGGCAGCAGTGATGCTTTGTAAAAGAAAAAAATCCTAAAGAGTCAAAATAGTCATCAAAGACGAGGATATTGGGCCCCCAAAACCAAAGCAGTGGTGTCTGAGAATTTAATCATTGGGTGGGTTTCCAGTGCTCACCTGAGATCTTTGAGAAGAGAAGAGATTGTACTGAGCACAAGTCTGTTTTCTCGTTTGGCCTCGGCTGTGGCGATCTGGTAGAGTAGCTTCTCCATAGAGAAGGGTTTTGCTATGTGCCTGCATTTCAGGTCCTGCAAGAGAAGAGCAAACATGTGGAGCGTCTTCTAAACATCTCCTACTAAATGTCTATAGGTCCAACTGGCGGATGTGGAAATGTGAAAGACTCACCTTAGCAGCCTCGTAGCCCAGGTTCATCCACTGTGGCGTGGCAAAGTGCACAGTTTCAGACACACTGTAGCCACAGCACACCCTGGACACGAATGCACCGGGGAACACCACCACAAACTGCCCGCTCTGCTGGACCGTGCGGTGGACCTTGATCCCCTCACGACAAAGCACCTCTGGAGAAATCTGGAGAAAAGCAGAGACATGCATGTTTATGTTCTGTGTATGCAATGAAATACAACTCCACAAAAAGGTCATACTATTTTTATTTACAATATCTTACCATAATGTTCTTCTCCAGCATTTCCAGTCCCGGCGTGCCGTTGGCCTGTAGCAGTGTGTGCACCACTTTATCAAGCTTAGTCTTTTCCTCAGCAGGAACAGAATACCTGTAACGGGACGGGCAGAACTTCCTGTCAGTGTCATTGTTTGGTTGACATAAGACAACAGCGCTGTCCTAAACCAGTTTTGTTGCCATGGAAACAGGCCTTGACTTTATTATGATGAGTCATACACATAAAAAAACATAAA